AGATGGACTCACGATTAATACCTCACTTTCGTCCAGTTTACGGGCGTGAACAGTGGAAGATGTTTGCGGTTGCAGCGGAGGAGCAGGAAGCACTCCTGCTGGCTCATTAACAGCCAATATCATTGAGGATTGCTTGTGGGGCGGTGTGCTGGCATCGCCCAAACTGTCGTCCAGCGATGGAAAATCGTCGTCCGTCGAAGATTCATGCAGGTGAGTGCTCTTGTTCATATCGTTGGACACGATGATCACTTCGTTTTGCGGCGGCACCACCGAATTGTCGATGATCACCGGCGGATGGGTGCTGGTCACAACTGTAATCTGACTCACCGATTCCAAGCTGTTTGGCAAAACCAAGTGCTGCGGTTGAACCGGCAGTGGTTGCTGATGCTGCGGCGTGGGTGGATCGCTGTTGATGGTAATAAGGGAAGTGCTCGAACTGAGAACAGCATTAGAGACACTGCCCGAGGAGCTGGAGGAGGCCACCGATTGCACAGACACAATGGAGGAGGCTGTGGGCGAAGGCGGCTGCGGTTTCGGCTCCATCGCTTCTTGGCCAATGGCCACCTCAATAGCCGTGGTGACTGGAGAAGCGGGTTCGGGGGTGGCCAGTTTTTTGGGAGACGTCTGGGAATCGCTGGCAGCCGGCTTGGCATTTGCAAGGCCCAATGGTGACGGCGGGGGCGGGGCCTTACCCTTCTTGACAAAGTGCTATGGGGGAGAATTCAAATCAGTTTGCAATATTTAACTGGATGAGTTGTGTTTACCTTCTTGTCGGAATCGGTTTTTTCAGATGTTTCTGCAACAGCAACCACGTCCTCGGGTTTCTTTTGCAGCACAGCCGCTGTGGTTTGGCCTGGTGGTGTAGGTGGCTGCTGAACTTGCGGTGGTGGCGTTTGCTGGGACGACGGCGGCGCTGGAGCAGGCACTTTGGTATGCGGCGGCTGCTGGGCTGCCGCTTCAGCATTGTCATCCTTTGTGTTGTTTGGTCTGTCCGGAGTGGTTGCTTTAGTTGTGGTTGTAGCTGCTGCTGCTGCAGTGGCCGCTGCTGCGATTGGTAAACTGCTACTTGGTTGGGATTGCTCTTTGGCATCCCGCAAAATGGATGTAGGTGTACCTGGAACTGTAAAGGGGTGTATAACGTGAGCAGGGGTTGAATAGCATGCACCAAAGTTCAGATGCTTACGCTTGTCAATGTCTTGGCTCTGCAGCGAAGCAGAGTCATCGTCCAGGTCGAGCTGGAGCGCCGAGTTGCGGGGTTCCTGGGGAAGATCAAAATAGCTCATTAGCATATTGATAATTAAAGTAGATCCTAAAGAATAGCTTCTCTGCTAGCAGATCTACTTGTCTTTTACTACAATAGCAAATCATACTGCAAAACTATGTCTACATTCGGCATGCCGAATTAGCATCCTATCGGTTTAAAAATACCACCGACATTTTTTTACTTTCATACCCCAAAAGAATTTGTTTACATCTGACTTTGAGCAAAGTCGCATTGTTCGCAAAGTCTATCAGTTATTGCTCCATAAACAATATCTATGTCTTAACGTAAGGAGCTTATAGATAGTGAAACTGACACGTTTGCCAGCTATGTGGCGGGTCAGACTGTTTAGTAATTTAAAACCATGTGTGATTGAAAGTGTGCTTCCTATAGTTACCACAAGAAACCGATAGCAAGGGCTTACGAAGAAACCCAAGTACAATAACAAACACAACGACCGAAGAATGCCTCCGGCAGAGGAGCTAATTGATAAGGGGCATTTGGCAATGCTGATAATATGAGTAAACTTATTGTGGGTCCGCTTTTTAAGGACAGTGCCTGGGATGCAGAAACGGATGATGGGAGGGGTGTGGGTGCCAGGAGCGGACGGAGCACGGACGGCTTGCTGTAGAACGACTTACCAACCCTCTGATAGAGCGAGCGCCGCTTCACTTGGCGTTTAAGCTTCTATATCAATTGTTTTCGAGTAACCACATACAAATGATAAGAACAAACATTGCGACATTTTGGCGGAACAAAAAAGAACGTAACATAAACGCAAGGCAAAGAATAGTCAAGAAAAACGAAGATAAACATATAAAATAATTTATCGCGCGGTGCGATTTGGTTGGGTTTTCAGGCGGCAGCGTGTAAGAGAGAAGAAAGAGCAGTTGGAGAGGTGAGAGAACGTAGAGATTATCATCACATCTAGCAGTTTGACTACAAGGGTGCGGTGCAGGGCACAAGGGTTTATGGGCCTCCAAGGCGCACTCACCTCGGTCTCATCATCCACCACCTCTTCCACGACCTCGGCCTTGTACTCAAGCAGCAGATCCTTAATGGGCTTGGCATCCAGATTTCTGTTGATGAAAGCATGCTGCATCAGCACATCCGTCGTCGGCCTCACCTGCGGATCCTGTTGAGCAGAAATATAAATGTAGTTAGAATGGGCACTGACAAACAGATGTTTGGGTTACCCACCTTGACTAAGGACTTCTTCAGGAAGTCGTTAAACTCCTTGCTCCATCGAGAAGGCTGCTCCAGCTTGGGCGGCTCACTCTTTTGAATTTTCAGGAGCACTCGCATGGGCGACATCTCGCTGTTGGGAGGCTCCATCTGCGCCAGCTCGATGAGCGTGATGCCCAGTGACCAGATGTCAACTTTGTGATCGTACGGATTGTCCCGGAACGTTTCGCAGAGCACCAGCTCCGGGGCCATCCAGTAAGGAGTGCCAATGAAGGTGTCGTGCTTCTGCATGGTGTGCTTGTTTTTGGCCGAGACGCCAAAGTCCGCTGAAATGAGTTAATGCCTCTTTGAGACGATGTCCAGCGAAAAGAGTAACGATATCTTACCTAATTTGACACCACCTTCCATCGTGAGAAGCACGTTTCCTGCTTTCAAATCACGATGGATGACTTTGTTGCGGTGCAGGAAGGTTAGACCCTCGGTCATGTGCTTGCAGACATAGGCAATCTGCGGCTCAGTCAGGGGCTTTTCCAGCTCCACCATAATGCTATCGAGGGCTCCTCCGTCGCAGTACTCGATGAGCATCTGAGAGGAATTTTAAAGAATGACTCATAATCCGGATAAAATAAAAAATACTTCTAAATACTCACCCACAGCTTATCATCGAGGGAAAAGGCCTCATACAGCTCCACAATATTCGGGTGCTTGATCTCCGAGAGAATGTCGATCTCGACCATGTGATCGCTGAGGTTCTCCTCATCCTCCAGCTGGCACATTTTGGCCGCAGCAAAGCGCTTCTGCTCCTTGTGCTGGGCCTTGTACACCTTGCCGAAGGCACCGTCGCCGAGTTCGCCGACCATTTCCCAGAACTCCTCCGGATCCGTGTCCATCTTAATGTTGTTGTACAGGCGCTTCTTCTTGGCCTCACCCCCGCCGAGGTGGAAGACCTTCTTTAGGTTGGTGATAAATGACATGTTGACTCTCTTGTAGATTTCCCCTGCTTCTGCTGACGATGATGATTTCTTGGGTTGAGTCTACATAGTGAGCTCCTGGGCGAGAGTCCAAGCAGGAAAACTAGATTTGGTGAAAGCTGCGGACATTGGCAAGCGTTTATTGATCGGACAGGCAGGTGTATTTCACAGACTTGGCAGGGTTTCAAGTCTGGATCAGAGTCTCAATCTGAATCTGAATCGGAATCCGGGGTGGAACTGCCCCGTTCTAGAACGCAGAACTTAGCCCAAATATCGTGGCCTAAACTCACCTTCTTTGCAGCACTCTCTCCTCGGTTCCTTCTCTTTTCTTCAGCGAAATAGGCCAAAAAGCGGGGATTGTGGGCTTGGTTGGCCCGTCTTTAGCGCTTCTGTGTTCTGTATGTTTTATAATTTAATTAGCAGCTAGCGAGCTCTAATATTTGTAGAAAAAACACGTACGAATGGGAGGGAAATGATTACAAACGAGAAAAAGTCAAAGACGTAGACAAAAGAGCGTGAGTGTGTGTGCGTGTGTCTCTGCTTGCGAGTATTTGTGAGCTGGTCTCTGGGCTTTTAAGCCCCTCCCCTTCAATCCCCTCACCTAAGCCCCAACACCTATTTATGCTAAAATTGCAGTGAAACCCGGGGATTTGCGTATGCCAAAGCTAACTAATTCGTAGTGGCACCTTCAATTCGCACTGTGCAGCTCGAAATTCGTGAAATTTGTAAACAACACGCGCACTTTTAACTAAAATCAACATCCCATTGATGATTACGGAGCAAGTATAGTCGGCGAATGGGCGTGAAACTTGAGGACGCACGCAAACGGAATCGGGTATTACCTCATTCGCACATAGTCACTTCCACGGCTTTCGGCCTTATCAATCACTGCACTATCGCTATTTCGACTGTTTTTGCCGCACACTAAGCCATTTAAGGCGTATTTTACCCCGAAAATGCTTGGAAATTTCTCTCGCGCAAACGCTTCGTGTTGCCACTGAGCTGCAATTGCACCCTGTTCGGCGATCTGGCAGCGCCGGCCAAAAATGGCCGTTTAGGTCATCTGTGCCAGAAGAGACCAGCACTATTTGCCTTCGCCAAGGGCAAAAACAGAAACAACACACACTTATGCAAACACACACGCAGGCGGGGGAAATAATTAATTCAGTCGGTTGCTGTTTGTTTAGTTACTTTGCTTTTTAGCTGGTTTTCGCCAGGTGCAGCCTCAGCAAACGTTCTTTCTCGCACTTCCGCTGTCCGATTGCGCACTTTCTAACTGTTTGCACGGCGCTTTTCCTCTCATGATTTTTCCATCAGCATTGTGTGGCCGTTCGACGAAACTGCAAATACACCGAACTGCGGATGTTTATGGTCTTCCAGGAATGCGACCTTCACATACTCTTCTTTCTATAGCAGATGAGGGCAATACGTTTCTTGAACTATTACTAGGAATCGATAACAATACACTTATTCTAAGAACCCGACAAAATTATTTTTATTTGTTTATATTTATATATTTTTCAGATATGCCGTGTCCCGCCCTGTCTGAGTATGACCAGCTGATCAGTTTTGGAAAATCACGCTTTTGCTGGCCCTGTGGTATATAAAGAAAGCGAAGTGTCGGCCACACTGTAAATCGTTTCTGCTTGTCATTTTGGCCTGAGTTTTTTGCCGCAAATTGCAGGTAATTTTGCGAAAAACAGGAGTCGCAGGAAGGAAACACCTCGAAAGCAAAGCAGCCCGGTACCTAGCAATCGGTGCAGACGTCATTGTAAAGCCCCGAGTCGAAAACCCAGAAAAAGCACAAACATGCCGTCGCAGGAGGTGAGCGTAAACAAAGTGATAGTGCATCCATTGGTTCTGCTGTCCGTGGTGGATCACTTCAACCGGATGGGAAAGATTGGCAACCAGAAGCGCGTGGTGGGAGTGCTTCTGGGCTGCTGGCGATCCAAGGGAGTCCTCGATGTGTCCAACAGCTTCGCAGGTTAGTATTGCAATGGAAAATCCAAAGCCGGACCCATGAAACAAAAGAATTCGCTCCCCATTTCCAGTGCCCTTCGACGAGGATGACAAGGACAAGTCGGTGTGGTTCCTGGACCACGACTACCTGGAGAACATGTACGGCATGTTCAAGAAGGTCAACGCCAGGGAACGGGTCGTGGGATGGTATCACACGGGTCCCAAGCTCCACCAAAACGACATAGCCATCAACGAGCTGGTCCGGCGCTATTGTCCCAACTCCGTGCTGGTCATCATCGACGCCAAGCCCAAGGATCTGGGCCTGCCCACCGAGGCGTACATATCGGTAGAAGAAGTCCATGACGATGGCTCCCCGACCAGCAAAACATTTGAACATGTGCCCAGCGAGATTGGCGCCGAGGAGGCGGAGGAAGTGGGCGTGGAACACCTGCTGCGTGACATCAAGGACACAACCGTGGGCAGCCTGTCGCAAAAGATCACCAACCAGCTAATGGGCCTCAAAGGCCTGAATGCCCAACTGCGCGACATAAAGCAGTATCTGCAGCGCGTCGGCGACAGTAAGATGCCCATCAACCACCAGATTGTCTATCAGCTGCAGGACATCTTCAACCTGCTGCCCGACATAACCAATGACCAGTTCACGGGCACAATGTACGTGAAGACCAACGACCAGATGCTGGTCGTCTACCTGGCCTCCATGGTGCGCTCGATCATTGCCCTGCACAACCTGATCAACAACAAGCTGGCCAACCGCGACGCCGAGGAGGGCAAGAGCGAGAGCAAGGAGGCCAAGGAGAAGAACAAGGAGAGCAAGGATAAGGACAACAAGGAGACCAAGGACAAGGACGGCAAGAAGGCGGAGGAGAAGGCCGACAAGGGCAAGGACGAAGGCGGCAAGGGTTCGCGGAAATAGGAGCGGAAGAAAAAGCGCAAGCCCCGTCGCAAGCGAAAGAAGCAGGGGCCGCAGGACTAGCTACTGCTTCTTCTGTTCTCCAGGAACTGCAACACATCTGCAGACCACACGGCGAGGGTGTGCAGTGGCCGCAGAAATCATCGTTCATTGTCCCCATGAAATCAAGCTCCCTCTTTATTATTTCGCGTAACCAACTAATGGCAAGTTTATGTAATTAAAAATTAAATAATTTAAATACTCCGATTGTTTGCTTAAAGGCGTTTCCCCCATACTTTTGCTGGGCTCAGCAATTGTTCGCTCCTTCAGCTCAATTAAAAAGGCTCGGGCTTGTGTTTTTGTATTTCGTAAAACCGAAATTATATTTTAAAACAAATTAAACTCGCTGGAGAGGCAACGTAAATGGCTGAGCTACGATTGCCTTTCCACGAGCACGAAAACGACTGAGTAATGCATTGTACAGGGCATTCCCTATCTTAGAGCAGTTACTACTTAGAAAGCATTTTACCAAATTTCACTTGACTTACAGCTGAGCTAGTTAACGCTTACGAACTAAGGCTAGGGTTCCATTGCTAACACCATCGATGGCTGAACAACTAGAATACTTAGGTTTACTGTGTGCCTGCAAAGCAATCGGAAACTAGATCAAACGTTGAGTTCCTCCCTTTTCCGTATTGCAGACCTGTAGCTCTGTACACGGGAGCCCTGCAAAATGGCTGCTTTGCAGGACTCCGGTGTGGACTGGAGGCTTCCCTTAGACCAGCCACTCGCTGGCCAGCGGGAACTTGAGCGGCTGGCAGCTGCTGAGTCGCAGCGAGCAGTTATTGTCCTCGGCAGCAAGTGGGATCCTGGTGGACGTCATGGGATTGCTCTGCACCGAGCAGAGGCTTAAACTATAGCTGTGCGACTGCCTAAGACTAGAACTAACGATATCGCTGCTGATCCGATGCTGATGCTGATGATGAGGATGGGGATGAGGATGAGGATGATGATGATGATGATGATACTGTTGTTGGTTTCGGCTCCGATACAGATCCTCCGACGGGCAGAAGTGGTTGCAGTTGAGATTGTTCGAGTGGAAGGCGGCCTGGCAGCTCCTTCCCTCGGCCCCTGAGGTTGTTGGTGACAAGCTGTTGCTGTTGCTGCTGCAGTTGAGGTTGTAGATCTTGATGCTGGTGCAGCTGTTGCGGATGTTGAGGTGTACCTGGGCGTGGTCATGTCACACCGAGGTGCCCTGCTGGCCCGGCACCACCGATCCGCAGCTATCCTCCGGCAGGAAGGACTCCTGCAGCCTCTGGCGGCATCCGCCCTTCGATGCGAAGAAGAACTTGTAGATGATGTACATGGGGATGCAGAGCACCGATGAGCAGGTGACCGCCCAGCCCACCTGGTAGCTCCAGTCCGGGTAGTAGTACTCCTCGCCGAGCATCTCCTTGTAGCCCATGATGGAGAAAATGAATATGGTCTGTGGGAATTCCGAGGTTACTATCTAAACTTGTTCTTAACCCTTTCCCTTCTCCTCACCAGCAGGAACACAGGACTAATGTACGTCCAGCAGATCCGCCAGAATAAGCCTGGCTTGCTGCCCAGCATCTGTTCCACATCCGAGCTAAAGCGGTCCACTCCGTAGAACCAGAAGACTCCGGCAGCCTCCACGAAGACCACAAAAAGAATGGCCAATCCAGGTCCGTAGACATTCAGGAAGTTGACCAGCACCACGCCGCCCTGAAGGAAAGTGGGAGTTACTTAATTTCACAAAAGATCCAGTCCAATAATGAATAATATTCATCCTATACAGCTTGGTATAAGTTGGAAATCCCTATCATAGCAGTCAGATCTCCACTCAACAGAATCCCTCCTAACTGGCACTGATTAATGGCTGCGGGCTGAGTTATTGAATAGCTTGATCCCTTGACCGATACTGGTCACTCCAATTGGCCAAGTGACCAGGACAGGCAGGCATAAAGAAGGCAGCGAATTACAATTTCAAATGTAATCAGATAAAGTGGCGGGAGGAAGGCCCTGGTGGTGGTTGTGGTTGTCTGACCGTGCTGAAGGCAAACAAGTCCACCCGTCTTGACAGGTGATAAAAATGCAGGAGAGGAAGGGGAAGGAGTGAGTGTGTGGAGATAAACTGGCGGACGATAAAAAGCACTTAACACGGCAATCCATCGACTCCTGGCTGGCATGTTTGAACAGCGGCTGCCATCAGCCTGGTGGAGCGTTAAATGGGACAGTTGGATAGGCATGCATATGTATGGGGAGTGCTTAGGAGTTAATTAACCGAATCCCAGTCGAGTACTCACGTAGGTCATCGTGGGCAGGGCGCACAGGAAGATGAAGGCCAGGAGCAGCAGGACGAACAGCTCCCTCCGCCTGCCAATCACCCGCGGATACTCGTCGCACAGCGCTGTTATCATCGCCTCCAATCCGCCGAAGGTGCTGTCCAGGCCCAGGGTAATCAGCATCAGGAAGAAGATGATGCTCCAGAACACCGAGCCACTCATCGTGGCTATGGCCTCCGGGTAGACGATGAACACCAGCCCCGGGCCCTCCAGGCCCACCTTGTCGATGGAGGTCTTTTGGACGTAGGCCATGTACCTTTGGGCGACAGTAACCACATAAGAAACCACATAGCAAGAAGTCGGATCTCTAAGCTTCAGGAGCTCTAGTTCAGCACTAGTTGTTACTGAGTTACTGGAGATGTGAAAGAACTCACCCCAAAACGGAGAAGATGACAAAGCCGGCCAGGAAGCTGGTCAGGCAGTTGATGCTGCTGGTGATGAGGGCATCCCGATAGCAGTTGTTGTTGAACTTGTTGTAGCTGGACAGGGCCAGCAGGGTACCGAATCCGGGGCCCAGGGAGAAGAATATCTGGGATGCGGCGTCGATCCAGACCTTGGAGTTCTTCAGCTTGTGCCACTCGGGGGTTAGATAGTACTTGATGCCCTCATCCGCGCCGGGCAGGGAAACTCCCCTCACCAGCAGGATGATTAGCACCACATAGGGGGCCAAGGCGGTGACCCACACAACTTTCCCGGCACTGCGCACGCCCTTCCACAGGGAGAAGTACACCAGGACGAAGACCCCGAAGACGCAGAGCGCCAGCGTCGGCTTCACCGGACCCATGAAGTCCAGCCCATTGCCCTTGTAGCTCTCGAGCACTTTCCGCCTGCAAGTGAGTCGATTTCAGTCGGACACGATTTCAGGTATATCTTCATGAGCTACCCACTCGAAGAACTCCTTGGCTGGCGAGGTGGCCAGTTCCGTGAAGTTCTCGCTGGTCACCTGCATGCAGTTCTCCGTGTTCCAGGGATTGTCGCACGACGTCCACGGCAACTTGGATGTGAACGAGGCGAAGAGATAGTACACCGCCCACCCGATGATGGTGTTGTAGTACATGCCCATATATATGTCGATAAGGCAGATCGCATAGCCCACACCTGCAAGTTTCCATGTTCCATGTTAAATGAGCGGCAAGGACCTTAAGAGCTCCTTGGGCACGCAAGGATCTGTCCCCAAGTCCCCGATAAATCCCATAATTGCTCGCCTAACGAGGCTGCCGAGCTGGAAATCAACAGGTTGCTCCTGAAGGCAGCTCAACTTGGTCCGGGAGCGCCAATATCTCTGATTGAAAACGGCCAACGGAGAATCGGCAAAGAAATTGGAATATTCCCGCGTGACAATTCGCAGGTTTCAGCTTTTGTACAAACCACCCCAGATGTGCGCCCGTCACTTATGAGGCCAATAAGACACGTCACGTGACTCTCCCCGCTAAGTTTTCCACTTTTCCACTCGCCTGGCTTTCCTCGCTTCCTGCGCTTCCTTCGCTTCCTTTCAGGCGCTTTTCATTTCGAGTCGCTCGGCAAAAGGTTTGCCAAAGCAAACACTTGTTGAGCAAATGATGACTGCCGCAAAGTGGTGTTTGCTCTTGGCTTTTTCCTTGGGAGGGATTTGGCCTAGACAAAGTGACTGGGCAGAAGTTGAGCGGCCTCTAAGCGAGCGCAGATCCAGTGGAGCAGCAGCCCATGCATTTTGTTTGTCACCTAATGGAATTATCAACTCGATATGCAAAACTTTGAATAGGACTTCCCCTCCAGTGGCTGGCTTTTCATCCATCGCTGCTGTAAATCAATTTGGCACAATTTAATTAGGGCCTTGAGCCCGGATGAATGTCCTGATTTGGGCTTGTGCGTTCCGCTTGAATGACTCGTTAATTGTTGCAACAAACGGGCGCCTCTTATCCATTGGGCTGCTTGATAATATCGCCGGCACACACAATGGCTTCCTTTTTGCAAACTTTTTTTTTGCCCAAACTTTGCTCCTTTGAGGTCCTGTGGCCCACAAGTGCGGGTGTCCTCGGAGCCTGGCTGAGACAATAATGCTCGGCCGAGCGTGAAATATCAGACATCAACAACACACGAGCTTATGTACGAGCTGCTGTACGCTTTTCGCAGAGCCACGCTGCGTATGCTTAATTTCTCATTACAAAATGCTAAGGCCCCAGGCGAAACCTGTGCGCAAATATTGAATGGCCCATAGATTGCAATATGCAATCAGGTTTTTTACGTTCTGCGACTAAACCCAATATTTGAACTCCATATTCATTTAAATTGCCATTTAATCTGAAATATGTTTGCAGGCCCCGGGCTCGTCCATGTTTATTTGCCCGTCATATTTCTAGACCCACATGGCACCTTCGCACTCCTGTTTTTATACTCACCTTTTAGGGCCGGGCAGATGCGCTTCCAAATGCTGAGGCAGCCACAGCGGTGGAACTGGCCCAGCGCCAACTCCATGTAGAAGAGCGGCAGTCCGCCGAAGATGAGGAAGAGGCAGTAGGGCACCAGGAAGGCGCCGCCTCCATTCTGATAGCAGATGTACGGGAATCGCCACACGTTGCCCAGATCCACCGCGAACCCAATCACGGCCAGGAGGAACTCCGCCTTCTGTCCCCAGGTCTCCCGCGTTCGCTCCGTCACGGACACCACCAAAATGCGCTGGATCGGGTTAAAACATGGAGGTATAGGGTTGGGAGTGTTAGCTTATATAAGAAAATATGTCTATATCAGATCCATCCCTCCCTTAAGTGCATGCACTAGTGGTGAGCCTCACCTCGTTGTTGGCCAACTTGGGGGCCAGTGGATCGGTGACCTTGGCGGGCGTGGAGTGGTCGCCGTCGTCCTCGTTGGAGTCGTCCTCGTTGTTCGGCGACTCCTTGTCGTCGCTCCAGGGCGCGGGATTCGAGCGGCCCGTCGTGGCAGCTGCTCCTCCGAAATCGGAGTTCCCGCTGCGGTCCATCTTGCGTTGCGGGGGGCGTGACAGGGGCGGGGGCGTGGTGCCTGGAGGCGTGGCAGTGTACGCCGATCGCGGCACGAGCTTAGCCAGCCGAACTCTGGATCTGCACTCAGTCCGGGGCCAGAAAAAGCGAAATCTGCGCTCTACTTACGGCTCTCCACTGTTCTTCACTGCTCCTCGCCCACCTGCAGTCTCTAGCTTTCCCGCTTTCCCGCTTTTCCGGCCCGTTTAGCGCTGTGGTCGTGGAAATTGCATTTTCCCACGGCGCGTCACATGCTGGCCTCGCTGAATCGACTGGCAATTAACTGCAACCGGAGTTAAGCAATCGCATTAAATGGGGCCTCGCTAACGACGGCCATTTGTTACTCCCCAAGGGAGGCATTCAAAGTGGCAGATTTTGCAGTGTTTTCCGACGGATTTCGGGTGCTCAGTGCGGTGGTAAAATAATATTTAAGAGCCGCTTAAATGGTCAGGCGCACTACATTCAAAACCGCTGCAATGGCCCCCAAAGAAGCACTCAATGCCAACTGCTTTTTGGGCTTATCCCTGGTCGACACTTTAAATTTCAGACTGTACACCACGGCGTATGCTCAACGATGAGAACAACTGCGGCCTTGATCTTCGTTCCAACCCATTCCGCACGCCTTTTTAATTGCCATTTAATTGTGGCCCACACGCGAAGCCAAGCAGCAGATAAAGATGAGGAAAGTGGCCACATGTGCCGACGGAATTTCCTAATGAGAAGCGTTGTGATAAGACAAGTGCCCGAAAGGCGAAACTCAAAACAATTAAAGGCCACTTAGAGATATGGAGGCACTAGCGCGGTTCTCCAGACCAGAACCAGATATTTAAGCAAGTGGAGGTCTGGAGGATGTTAAAATGCTCCAAGCCAAGGAGCTGTTCCAAGCCGCACTGAACAATACCGCACTACACAATAATCAAATTTAATTTCCTAAATTTCAAGAGTTCGCGAATTCACGAATCCCTTTCTGAAACAATTAAAAGGTAAAAGGACTTACATTTTTGATCTAACTTACAGGAAAATGTATCTCGGCTCAGATGACTAAAATTGACTAAACTTTGAACTAAGCACTTTGCACAACTTTCCGGGTCTCTCCACTAGTTTCAGGTTGTCCTGGCTTCCGTGCGTCCGACTTGAGAGACGCGCGCCGCTCCTTTGGGCCAACTGGTGCGTCCTGGTGCCGGATGGCTCCTTTTATACGCTGGATGCGCAGGCGGGCGCCAATTCGTCGGCGGCGGCCCGAGTGTCCTTCGGCTGTGGCCAGCGAGTCCTTGGGGGTGGAGGCTTCCGAAGTTGGCGCTCGACAGGTGGCAAAGCGTAACTTAAATTGCGGCAAACTGTTGCTCATCGAACAAGTTGATTGAGCGCCCGCCCCGCCCCCCGCCTCCGCACAAGTGGGCGTCGTTGTGGGCGTGGCCCATTAGCAGCGCCTAGCTTGCCACATTACTATCCTGACCAGTCGACTGACAGGGGCACAAGTTCCATTTCACTAATTCACTTTCGAGCTGGCAGTACAAGTATAATTGCGTAAAAGCATGTAGTAAGCATGCGATTGAAGTGATTGAGGCACCTAAACTGCCAAGTCACGACTTATTTTGTGAATTTGAAGTTATCTTTGGCATGTGCGCTCTGATTTAGGCGAACCTCAGCTTCTTCACTGCTCACTGCTCACCGCTCACTTGACAATTAGATGTCCGACTTCGTACGAGTAGGTGCCTAAATTCGCGTGGAACGGATTACCAGTTGCTCACCCTACGAAGAACCGGAGCAATCTGATTTTGAAACTCGTGATGCTTCCATTTGATCGCTCGATTTGACTGAGGTGATTAGGCGCTTTTCAGCGCTGAATTGAACTGTTGCTTATTTATTTGCTAATTATTATTACCGCCAGCGGAGATTGCGAGCGTGGCGCACACTCGACTCGGACTGGGACTGGGATTGCCAAGTGGGTAAGTCTCTGATTCAGCGTAATTGCGAATGGCCAGCGGCACTGAAACTCGCGGATGGGGGGCTCTGTGGTGGGGGAAATGATCATCTGGAGTCCAGATGGGTGGCACACGTTCTCCGTGGTTGGGGTAGGCGGTTTGGAGCTCGGGAGGAGCAGACTGATGGCTCTGCCGTTAGCCAGAGTGTCTGTGCTGCGGAGCGGCACTCGCTGGGTATCACTCACCGGATCATCGCTGGGTGTGCGTTCCTGAACTATTTTGCCGCAAAGCCGGGCTTACATAACTGTAACCCGACATCGAATTTCCTGGCCAAGCCGCAAACTACGTCATTGGCTCCACAATCGCTGCAGTAAGCGGTGGGCGCGATATTTGAATGCGCTCTTGATGGAAATGTGTGCTGGGCTTATCGCACCGTATTATAGTTACAGAATGCATTATTACATGGGGAATCTTATAAAGCTGCTCCGAATAAATGCCAGTATTACTTAGAAATCAAATTTAAAACGCGCGCGCAACAGACCAGTTTGACTGTACTGCAATATCGTATTCAGTATTTTTTGTCTTCATTACTTGGTATGTAGATCTGACGTGGTCACACTAGAAGGCCATTCGCACAAATGCGTTGGCAAAACAAATAAATTGTTCTTGAATTTTTAGATCCTAGGAAGCACAATTGAATAACTGAGTTATCGAGGAAATGCGGCTGACACAGCTGTGGCAGAACCGCTCGCCCGGCGACCGCCACTTGAGCACATACTTTTGCTTTGCGGTGGTGCGCCTCCTGCTTGTCTTCGTGCCCCAACTGGGCTACGTGCATCCGGATGAGTTTTTCCAGAGCGTGGAGGTGATGACTGGTGAGGATGGGCTGTTGCAGCGTCCTCCGTCAAAGGTAGCTAATCCAGCACTTTACAGGTGATCACTTTAGGCTGGAGCACACGCGCACCTGGGAGTTCAACAACTCGCTGCCGGTGAGGTCTATTGTTCTGCCCTTCGCTCTGCTGCGGATTCCCTGGAGCTTCTACGAGTTCGTGGCCGAGTGCCTGAAAGCCTGGTGGCAGCTGGAGCTGCTGGGCACCTACACCTATGTGGTGTTCCCGCGGCTGATTTACACTCTGATCTCCTTCAGCAACGACTACTGTTTGTACCGCATCTGCCGGTTGTATGGACTCCGCTTCGAAATCCGCCTCTTGGCCATGGGTAGCTCCTGGATTCTGCTCGTCTTCGGCACGCGCACCTTCTCCAACAGCCTGGAAATGGCCATGTGCTCCTGGCTGCTCTGCTTGGTATCCGAATGCATGCTGCGCACGAATACAGTGGTGTACAAAAAGGAGTTCCTCGAAGAGAAGTACGACAAGGCGGAGTCCATCAGCGAAAGAGTGCGCATTTGGAAGCTAAAGAACTCCCTGCCGGCGCACAATCTGCAGCACCTTATGGCCATGTCCACCATTTGCGTGGCTGGAGTGTTTAATAGACCTACATTCCTGCTGTTCGGAGCACCCATGGTCTTCTTTTGGTTGCTGCGCGGCATGGGAACAAGAAGCATCACCTTCAGGGACTTTAACCTGCGCATTGCTCTCTTCTGTGTGTGCTCCCTGCCTGCCCTAGTACTCTTTATATTCTGCGACTCGCTGTACTATCAACACTTGACCCTCGGAGAACTGCACATGATGCACTTGAGCATCGACAACTTTGTCTTCACGCCCTGGAACTTCATTAAAGCCAACCTGGATTCGGCACAGACGGCCAGCCACGGAGTCCACCCGTGTTATGTCCACCTAATGGTCAACATGCCAATGCTGTTTAACGTCCTTGCCTTGGCTTCGTTGGGAGCCTTTGCACAGCTGCTGCTCAGGTTCTTCCGGGCGGAATACCAGGTGCTGCCGCGCTTCCAGAGCATCGTGTCATTGATGTCGGGGGCCATATTTGTGCCCCTATTCTTTCTCTCCCTAATCAACCACCAGGAGCCCCGCTTTCTGTTGCCAGTCACATTTCCCCTCATTCTGCTACATGCGCCCAAACTAATCACCGGATTTAGTGCCAAGTATCCCTTCCAAAAGGACCACCCACTCTTACGCTTGTTCTACGACAAACTGCTTTCAAGCAAAGCTTCTGGTCCCTACCTGCTGAAGATCTGGTACGTAAGCAATGTGGCGCTGACCCTATTCTTTGGCTTCATCCACCAGGCGGGCGTTTATCCCTTGGCAGCGGACATTTCGCATGTGGTTGCCACTAAGCCGGCAGCAACGCACGTTCATCTTATAACGTCGCACATATACAGCCTGCCCTTACACCTGATCAACATTCCCAGCTCGAGGGTACTGCACTTCGACCGCCAGACCCACCAGCGATACCGCCGCCCAAGAGACTTTTATATGTACGAGTACGGAGGCCTACCCTTGGAATCCCTGCTGCAGAAGGTGAAACTCATCAGTGGGAGCTGCGAGGTGAAGCAGTCGGGACCAAGTCGGCGGCGCTACAAACTGTATTTAGCCATTCCGGCGTCATTAAGTGCAGAGCTTCACGAGGCTCTCGTGCACTCGAATGCCACCAGCTACCTTAACTTCGAACTGCTAAAGGTGTTCTATCCACACCTCTCCACGGAGGCGTTTCCTCGCCTTCAGGGCAGGCATCCGTGCGATGTGGATGCTCCTCATTGGGCGTACGACGATCTACGGGGCACTTGCGCAGTAGAGCAGCTACCTGCGTTTAGTTTTGCCTACCTTAATAAGCAATTCAGCTCCTTCGTCCATCAACTAGGACTGGCGCTCTACGAGATCGACGTGACGCGGAAGAAGCCTCGTTCTGTGTTACTAAAGAAACCCTCGATAACGAAAACTCCGGCGTAGTGTTCAGTCTTTGGCCAATCCAAGTGCCTTATACCAAAGTTCTAGGCTAAGATTAACTATTTATTGTAACTTAAGTCGCGTCATGCACAACTTTCGCAAAACAAAAAACTATTGTAAGGCTTGACTCTTGTAAACATTCTCAGTATGTGCACAACGAACATGAAATTTTTAACATGGCTAGTCATTACCAAATATTCACTTGATCTTAAGATCCATTCCATAAACTAACATAAGGACAATAATGCAGAGTGACCGCAGATAAAAAGAGCAGCCAAGGCTTAAATCCTATCGAAGAGGTAAGTTTGAACTCCGCCAGAAAGCCACTTAACATGTGCCATCTAACAATCAGTAACCAGAATCGTAATTCTGTACATTTCAGTTGTCGAACGCTGGAAAAGAGTAATCCATTTGACACGCCGTTGGCTCTTAATTCCCAACAAACATCTGAGGCGTGGGGCGCGGCATCCGCGTTCATTGAACGTTACCCGGCAGAAATCTCGTTGCGGACACAATTGTGTTCTGATTTAGATTTGGTGTTTGGGCCGCCTAAGCCGTAAACCCGTTTTGGCAATGAGGTGACAATTGGCCTATAAAATGCTGGACCATTTTGACCAACGGCATCAGTCACCGACGAACCAACCAAACCAATCAACAAAATCACCATGAAGGTATGTTACACTTGCCCATTTGGGTTGTTCAACCACTAAAGGATACTTTCTCCTCTTCGTCCAGTTCCTCATCTGCTTGGCCCTCTGCATCGCCGCCGCCCAGGCTGGCTACATTGCCTCTCCGGTGACCACTTATGCCGCTGCTCCAGCATATGCCGCCGCCTACGCTGCTCCAGTGGCCACCTATGCCGCCGCCGCTCCTGCCTACTCCACTTATGCTGCCGCCGCTCCTGCCTACTCCACTTACGCCGCCGCCGCTCCTGCCTACTCCACATACGCTGCCGCCGCTCCCGCCTACACCGCCTCGGTGTACAGTGCTCCGGCTTACACCGCCCCGGTGGCCACTTATGCTGCTGGTGCCGCGTACGCCGCTCCCGTCACCACCTACTCGGCTCCGGCCATCGTCAGCCCCTTCCTGAAGAAGAAGTAAGCGCGCACCACCAATCAGACATCCAAACGATCCGATAAACTAAATAAAACGCCCATCTAAGCGAAATCTTAAAACGAAATTTTTAATTATTTTGAATTCTACAACATCATAACAACAAAAAAAAGACAAAAAAATTGAAAAAAAATAAATTTATAAATTTGAATGCAGATTTTTAGAGAATTCCACCAGAAACATTTAGAGGTATGCCACTTCAAAATCCGATTAAGATAAGTTGAGTTATGGAGTATAGAACTTCAGCCTTGGGGCATTTTTTAATTATTTTGAATTCTACAACATCATAACAACAAAAAAAAGACAAAAAAATTGAAAAAAAAATAAATTTATAAATTTGAATGCAGATTTTTAAAGAATTCCACCAGAAACATTTAGAGGTATGCCACTTCAAAATCCGATTAAGATAAGTTGAGTTATGGACTTCAGAACTTCAGTCTTTTGACATTTTTGAATTTCTACAACATCACCACACCAGAAGATTTAAAAAAATATTTTGAAAAAAAAAAAATCCAAATTTGAATGCAGATTTTTAGAGAATTCCACCAGAAACATTTAGAGGTATGCCACTTCAAAATCCGATTAAGATAAGTTGAGTTATGGACTCTAGAACTTCAGTCTTTGGGCATTTTTGAATTTCTTGAACATCACACCACCAGAAAAATTAAAAAAAATTTTGAAAAAAAAATTTTTTTAATTTGAATGCAGATTTTTAGAGAATTGCTCCAGAAACATTTTGAGGTATGCCACTTCAAAATCCGATTAAGATAAGTTGAGTTATGGAGTATAGAACTTCAGCCTTGGGGCATTTTTTAATTATTTTGAATTCTACAACATCATAACAACAAAAAAATGACAAAAAAAATGAAAAAAAAAAATTTTTTTAATTTGAATGCAGATTTTTAGAGAATTCCACCAGAAACATTTAGAGGTATGCCACTTCAAAATCCGATTAAGATAAGTTGAGTTATGGACTCTAGAAGTTCAGTCTTTGGGCATTTTTGAATTTCTTGAACATCACACCACCAGAAAAATTAAAAAAAATTTTGAAAAAAAAATTTTTTTAATTTGAATGCAGATTTTTAGAGAATTGCTCCAGAAACATTTTGAGGTATGCCACTTCAAAATCCGATTAAGATAAGTTGAGTTATGGAGTATAGAACTTCAGCCTTGGGGCATTTTTTAATTATTTTGAATTCTACAACATCATAACAACAAAAAAATGACAAGAAAATTGAAAAAAAAAATTTTTTAAATTTGAATGCAGATTTTTAGAGAATTCCACCAGAAACATTTAGAGGTATGCCACTTTAAAATCCGATTAGGATAAGTTGAGTTATGGACTCTAGAACTTCAGTCTTTGGGCATTTTTGAATTTCTAGAACATCACACCACCAGAAAAATTAAAAAAAATTTTGAAAAAAAAAATTTTTTTAATTTGAATGCAGATTTTTAGAGAATTGCTCCAGAAACATTTTGAGGTATGCCACTTCAAAATCCGATTAAGATAAGTTGAGTTATGGAGTATAGAACTTCAGCCTTGGGGCATTTTTTAATTATTTTGAATTCTACAACATCATAACAACAAAAAAATGACAAGAAAATTGAAAAAAAAAATTTTTTAAATTTGAATGCAGATTTTTAGAGAATTCCACCAGAAACATTTAGAGGTATGCCACTTCAAAATCCGATTAAGATAAGTTGAGTTATGGACTCTAGAACTTCAGTCTTTGGGCATTTTTGAATTTCTAGAACATCACGCCACCAGAAAAATTAAAAAAAATTTTGAAAAAAAAATTTTTTTAATTTGAATGCAGATTTTTAGAGAATTGCTCCAGAAACATTTTGAGGTATGCCACTTCAAAATCCGATTAAGATAAGTTGAGTTATGGAGTATAGAACTTCAGCCTTGGGGCATTTTTTAATTATTTTGAATTCTACAACATCATAACAACAAAAAAATGACAAAAAAAATGAAAAAAAAAATTTTTTTAAATTTGAATGCAGATTTTTAGAGAATTCCACCAGAAACATTTAGAGGTATGCCACTTTAAAATCCGATTAGGATAAGTTGAGTTATGGACTCTAGAACTTCAGTCTTTGGGCATTTTTGAATTTCTAGAACATCACACCACCAGAAAAATTAAAAAAAATTTTGAAAAAAAAAATTTTTTTAATTTGAATGCAGATTTTTAGAGAATTGCTCCAGAAACATTTTGAGGTATGCCACTTCAAAATCCGATTAAGATAAGTTGAGTTATGGAGTATAGAACTTCAGCCTTGGGGCATTTTTTAATTATTTTGAATTCTACAACATCATAACAACAAAAAAATGACAAAAAAATTGAAAAAAAAAATTTTTTAATTTGAATGCAGATTTTTAGAGAATTGCTCCAGAAACATTTTGAGGTATGCCACTTCAAAATCCGATTAAGATAAGTTGAGTTATGGAGTATAGAACTTCAGCCTTGGGGCATTTTTTAATTATTTTGAATTCTACAACATCATAACAACAAAAAAATGACAAAAAAATTGAAAAAAAATAAATTTTTTAATTTGAATGCAGATTTTTAGAGAATTCCACCAGAAACATTTAGAGGTATGCCACTTCAAAATCCGATAAAGATAAGTTGAGTTATGGACTTCAGAACTTCAGTCATTTGACATTTTTGAATTTCTACAACATCACCACACCAGAAAAAATAAAAAAATTTTTTGAAAAAAAAAAATTCCAAATTTGAATGCAGATTTTTAGAGAGTTGCTCCAGAAACATTTAGAGGTATACCATTTCAAAATCCGATTAAGAAAAGTTGAGTTATGGACTTTAGAACTTCAGTCTTTGGACATTTTTGAATTCCTACAACATCATATCATCAGAAAAAACAAGACAGTGAATGAATATATGAAGATCAAGAATATATATACCATATATGGTCGGAATCGCTTCCACCTGTTACATACTTTTTATCGAATCTGGTATACCCTCTTACTCTACGAGTAATGGGTATAACTAGCCAGTGGTCGAGGCGGTCTAACGGCACCTTAGAAACCACTTAGAAACGGCACTTGGAGAACTCAGGAGTAAACTTAATTTGGAACGCACACTACTGGGGTCGTAGGTCATCAAGTAAATTGGCTACAGATAGTTTCTTTATTTACGCCTGTTAAATGCCTTAACCATATTGAAACGCCACTATAGCTACAGTTCACTTAAGGTCTAAGGAGTGCTACAAGCGAAATACAAAACAAATCGCATATTCGAGATGTGGGACACGCGATGTTAGATGGGCTCAATGGAGATTGTGGCTCAGATACATGGGACTCTTCGGCGCGTCGACCTCCTCGAAGTCAAAGTCCTCGGATTCGTCCTCGTTCCAGCGCACCGTGCGATCACTACTGGATATTTTCGGATCGGTGGGGTTGCGGGGAGAAAAAGCAAGTTCAGAATATATAGACTTTGTCGCTGTGAACACAATAAGAATTTGTGTGTGATTTGATTGGTACTCTGTCCCTGGCATGTGCTCAAGATTCGATCAAATTAGTCAAAAAACCAAAAGTCAAAGCAAAAAACAAACTCATTGGCAACAGAATACGTTAATAACGTTGGTAGAACCTGTTCAAGCCGGCCGCTGGCGGAGGAGGGGGCGGGGGGGCGCCCCTGGGCGGCGTGCGTCGGGCGCTGAAAGGTGACGAAAATGGTTGTTACTACCAGGTGATTATTCAGGTGCCACAGAAATCTCAGACCACTTGTCATCTCTGGTTACGTGGTCAAAGAGATCTTTTGTGCCGAATCACTTTGGCGATCACTTGGTGCAGATACATTGCTGAAGCTCGGAATGTATCTCTTCTGTGATCTGGAGATTTCTGCAGCACTCCCGAGTCCCTAGTCCTACAGACTTACGCCGCCACGTCCGCATCCAAATGGCCTCCAGCACCGTAGGCATCGCTGTCGTCCAAGTCGAACTCATCGGTGCCGGTGCGTTGGCTGCAGGTGATGCAAAGTTGGTTAGTGCTTAGTCTCAAAGAAGAATAGCCGAGCTAATGGGTTGGGTGAGGCTGGTGAGCGAGCTCCAAACTGGGTGGGGTCACTTTCAGGGTGCCGGGACTGAGACACTCACAGGCGCTGATTCCGCTTGTTGACAATGTCCTGCACAGCTCGGGCGGTCAGCGACACCTTGCTCTTGAGACGCATCGGCGTCCGGGGCATCGGAATGGCGGCCGGAATGTCCGGGTTCACGCTGAGCACGGGAGTTATGGGTCGCCGGACCGTTTCACTGCTAGCTCTATCCGCATTGGTACTACGTCTGGCATGCACAGAGGGGGCAGAGAGTGAGTGGGGGCGGACCTCGAGGGGATTGCGGGTCAGCAGGGGTCACTTACAACTTCGGCTTAGTACGGAGATTGGAGCGATGGCTGCGCGGATCGGGCCTTTGGTCGGGACTGACACTGGACTGGTTCTGAACCTGGTTTTGGGTCTGCGCTTGCCAGCCCCTGTCGTCGTGGGCGTCCTCAAAGTCGAACTCTTCAGTGCCTTGGCGGCGACTTTGAGTAAATGGGAGGGGGGAGAGAAGTCAGAGGTCATAAGTCAGAGGTCAGAGTAACTAAGGTGGGTCAGGGACCTCGACTTACAGGGGCGTCTTGACTTTGCGCGACTGCCAAATATTGAGTATCTTTCTAGTCTGACTGCTCTCGCGATCGCGCTCACGAGAGTTGGCCCTACTGGGTCCGCTGGATGAGCCCCAATTGTCATCCTCGGGATCGTGGCGCCTGACATATGCAACGGGATGAAATGAGATGCGGTGGCTCGTCCGGCGATAGCTACTCACAGTTGCTGGCGACTGCGGCTGCGCACCGGCGTGTTCATGGCGGACGCGTCTCGGCCCCTGCTCAGCTCCCGCTCCCGACTTCGCTGATCCCGCTCTCGCACCCGCTCCCTGTCCGAATCCTGGCGTCGCTGAGCTGGCGGCTGCTGCTGCTGCGGCTGCTGCTGCCTCGACGGGGTGGAGTCTTCGTCAGCCAGGTCAAGTGTTTCTTCGGTGGCAGTCCGTCTTCT